AGTAACGGTAACTTGTTACTTTTCCTACTCGGTAACGAGTAACTGTAACTTGTTACTTTTAAAAAGTAACTTTCCATTCCCTGGATTTCGCTTATAGTGTTCTCGAACTATGCAACGACTGTATATTCACTTATAGTGGCCTCGTACTATGCAATGATTGTAGATTCACTTATACTGTCCTCAAACTATGCATTGACTACAGTTTACATATAATGTCCTCAAACTATGCGTTGACTAAAGTTCACTTATAATGACCCCAAACTATGCATTGACTATAGTTCACTTATAATGTCTTCAAACTATACGTTGACTAAAGTTTCACTTATAGTGGCCTCAAATTATATGTTGACTATAGTTTCACTTATGGTAGATCTATAAAATGTTTTCTTTTCAACATAAAGGAAAACCTTACGTAAATACCAATGACTATTTTCAATATTATTTTTTAATTAAAGTTATACAGAAAATCTGCGACGTAACTGTCCTTAAGAGCGCATATTTTTCGGCTTTAAAAAGTATACATTTCTCATAATTTTTTAAATAAAGAATATACACGCTATAAGAATCGTATTTCTTGTAAATAATATTACATATTTTTGATTATTAATTACAATTTTTTATTTCACGTTTGAAAAATATTTCCCCTACAGCCCTTCGTCCTATACTTTGCATGGTATGCAGCGTTTCGTAGTACCAGAAATATTTCCGATCTGATTCATCTAAAACAAAGAATTGAAAAAGAACTTAAAGTTTATAAGAAATTGTAGTCTCTATCGATACGATTTTTAAATTTTTGATATTTAAAATGACTTAAAATGAGATTTAAAATGACCTTTAAACATAGAAAATTATTTGAAAAGCCGCCATTTTGTTAAAAATGAAAAATTTTTAAATCGCTTCTAATAAAGACTATAATTTTTTATACACTTCAAGACCTTTTTTGAACTTTTGTTTCAAATAAACCAAATTGTTGATATTTCTGTTATCGCGAAAAGCTGCATGCTGTGCAGAGTTCAGGACAATGACCTATGGGGGGAGGGGGATAGATACATGCTTTCAGGTAATAGGTGAAACTTAAAATAAAGAAATGTGAATAATAATAATAAATATGTACTTTCATTTACAAAAACTCGATTCTTGTTTGTATACTCTTTCCAGAAAAAAAATCATAAAAAAGACAATAAAAAAGTATACTTCCTGAAGCTGAGAGAGTAACACACTTCCATAAATTATTCAAAATGTATATAATTCGTATACAGGATGTAACTAAAAAAAGGTACATGGAGCACACTGATCAATTGAACACAATGATCAATATCATCGAAGGTATGCTTTGAAGATAAAGTAAAATTTTAGGTGCTAATTTAGTATCCTATTCCGAATTTTAGTGCTCAAACCGTTTAGCAGCAATAAAAAAAATGGGGGGGGTCTTAATGGTAGCTTAATGGCAAGCTGGGAACCTCATAAAAAAAATACAATGCACGTATACATATAATAAGTACACAAGGATTTTAGTGCTCCAAAATAGAGCAAAAAAAATTCAAACATAGTGTTAATTCAAATATTCCAACATATATTAAATGCTACACCGTTGTGTACGACATCTACATTTAGAGAGCTCGTGGTACACATATTTTTAAAAGTATTCACATCTAAAATGATGTAGATTTCATATATATTCGAAAGATAAGATTCCAATTTGTTGTTGCTAACCGTAAAAAAATATAATTAATATATAAATAAATATAATTAACTTATTCCGACCGACGACGTCAATGTTTAAATTCCAGTAATTACTAGTCAGAGAATTTGGTGCTCGCATGATTTTGGTATTAAAACAATCCTTAGATTTGTAGTATCAAAATATATACATTTCCGATTTTAGTGCTCACTTAAAGTAACTGAAAATAATTAATACGTCGCGAAAGATCGCGCGTCGCGCCCTAAAATTCGTCAAAGAATTTGATGCTCGCATGATATTGGTATTAAAACAATCCTTACACATCGTAGAATCAAAATCTATACATTTCCGATTTTAGTGCTCTTTGCAAGCCATCGAAGTCACGTGTGTACTCTGCACTGCGCTGATTGACTTCTACGTGTGGAATCCCTCTTCATCTCAATTTCGATAAGGCAGAGAAAGTCGATAATGCTATTATAAACGCAAGATGTCTTTTGTAATCGTATTTCATTAGTGACAATGTATTTTGTGAAAACTCGTGGACAATTCACTTATGGAAATTTCTTTTGAGGGTTTCGCCGCGACTGTTGCGACGTTTGTCAAAGGGTTACCGCGCAGTGCGGCGCCATTAGAGATAATCAAAGGATTGTCTTTACGCGCCGCAATAGCGCGGCGCCGCGTCGTCTAAGAAATTTTCTCTATCCCTACTAGTTTTCGCGATATTTGACTGGATCACTTCAGATGGTCCACCCTGTATATTAAATTTATTTTTTTACGGTTAGCAACAAATTGGAATCTTATTTTTCGAATATATATAAAATCTACATCATTTTAGATGTGAATACTATTAAAAATATGTGTACCACGAGCTCTCTAAATGTAGGTGTCGTATTCGACGGTGTAGTGTTTAATACATGTTGGAATATTCGAATTAACGCTATATTTGAATTTGTTTTGCTCTATTGGAGCATTTAATTAGCACTGAAATCCCTGTGTACTTATTTTTTGTATACGTACATGGTATATATTTTTTATGGGGATCTAGCTTGCCATTAAGCTAAACCCCCCATTTTTTAATTGCTGCTGAACGTTTGAGCACTAAAATTCGGAATAGGGTACTAAATTAACACCTAAAAAGTACTAAATTTTTTACCTATTCCGAATTTGATTTTCGGGAGGTCGTATATATATTGTATAAGAACGTTTCGTACAAGAACGATTAATATCAAAGGTATGCTTTGAATACAAAGTACAATTTTCGTCGTATATATTAATTGTATAGATAGGGGTGTACAAGAACGATTAATATCAAAGGTATGCTTTGAATACGAAGTACAATTTTCGTCGTATATATTAATTGTATAGATAGGGAAAAAAGGATGGAAACTCTGAAAATTTTTGGAACATATGAGTTTCACTGAAAAATGTTTCGTGTGAAAATTGTAGAGTTTAAAAAGATCCATTTACTAGTCTCATTGGTTTGACCTTGAACGGCGTCGCTAATATCAAGATCACATTTGTAATAGAACTCTCCTCCCTGTTAGGTTGCGCATTTTTATAACGTTTGTCGAAACGTCTTCAAAATATTATACATATAATAAAGCTTCTCTTGGATAAAAATTTCCTGAGATTTTAAAAAATGTGTCGCAGTATTTTTAATATTGTATAAAGCATTAAATACCTTGTAACGTAAAAGTCAAACTGATAATATCAATACACAGATCATTTTAAACCTTGTAACTTTTATGAGAAGCACTTTTCTGTGAAGCTTGAATGTTTCGAGACTTTTCAGGATTCAAGATTTCCGCACATGTTCCCGTGTATAATTTAGAAACTATTTTCTAAATCTTCGTTTAATACGATAGTTCCCAAAATATGTATCATATACAGACAATTTATATCATCGGTCTCAATTAAGCTATATGTTTAATACAAGAACGATTTATATCAAAGGCATGCTTTGAATGCAAAGTGAACTTTTCGTCGTATATGTTAATTATACAGATAGGCGAAAAATAATGGAAACTCTGGTAAGTGTCGGAACATATAAGTTTCACCGAAAAGTGTTTCGTATGAATGGTGTAGGATTTAAAAAGATCCATTTATTGGTCTTATCTGTTTGGCCTTGAATGGCATAGTTAGTGTCAATGTTACCTTATTCTCTGTAATGGAGTTTCATTGCTTATTGCGCATTTTTATAACGCTTGTCGAAACGTTTTCATAGCGCTAGATGTGTAATAAATATCATTTTGGTTCAAAAACTTCTAAAATATTAAAAAATGTATCGTTGTTTCTGTAATACACTGAAAAAAAAGATTGGTTGCTGTAGCAAATTAGGTTAAATATGCCAAAGCATTTTTAATTGACTGCAGCAACCAATTTTTAGTTGCGTTAGCTAATCGAAATCCTATACTGACATTGCGGATAAGCTAACACAACCAACAATTGGCTGTAGCAACCAAAAATTGGCAGTTGCAACCAATAGAAAATATTATGCCATATTTCACCATATAATTTGCTGCAGCAGCCAATCTTTTCTTTCAGTGTACGAAATATTAAATATCTTGTTAAAAGTCAAACTGACAATATCAGTTCATAGATCATTTTAAGCCCTGCAATTTTTATCGGAAACACTTTTCTGTGAAACTGGTATATTTCGAGATTTTTCAAGATTTCTGTTTTTGTTCCCTCTACCCTGTATAGTTTAGATACTATCTTCGTTTAATAACAATAATACACGAAATATGCATCATATATAAACATTTTATAATGTTGGTCTCAAAGTATATGTTTAATACAAGAATGGTTTATTTCAAATGCATGCTTTGAAGACAATGTAAATTTTCCGTCGTACATGTTATATAGTTATATAGTTTTGAGTATTATCCTTGAAATATTCGTGCATTAGTCCTTGAACTATACACCATATGTGAAAATCGGTATATATATTATTAGTTTTAAAGTATGTGTTTAATATGAGGATGACCTCAATTTCAAACGCATGCTTTGAGGTAAAAATATCCGTCGTAAAGGTAAAAAGCATCTCTTGAAGACTGTTCTTAAAGCATTTGTTTAATATTTTATGTGTGCTCAAATCATGCGTTGTGCAATATAAAGTCATGCAGTTTTGAAATTACAGCTTTATAGGATATTTAACTTCTTGGTATGTGTTATTGGGACTATAATACACGTTTTTATGTTTAAATTGAATAGTTTCTCAAACTATAGGAAATAAATGCAGTGTCCACCAAAAGTCCTGGGCCACCTGAATTATTTCTGAATGGTTTGAGATATAGAATCGAAATTTACAAGGATACAATGGGATCATAAACTCTATCATTTAACCTCGAAAACATCTACCTTAACATTTCTCGGACGGGGAGAGGGGGACCGAAAAATGTTAAATCTTAAATGATATATGGGGTCAAGTAAAGGCTCGTTTAAAAAGGCTTTCCGAGACGAAAACAACGCGGGGTGACTGAGGTTTTTACGATTTTTTTTTCACACATTTATGATCATTTAAACATTGTTATTCAGATGTATGAATTATGCCTCTTGTGCGCGTGCGCGCGCACACACACACACACAAGAGGTGTAACTCATACATCTGAATAACAATGTTTAAATGATCATAACTCTGCGAAAAAAAAATCGTAAAAACCTCAGTCGGCCCGCGTTGTTCTCGTCTCATAAAGCCTTTCTAAACGAGCTTTCACTCGACTTCACATATTTAAAATTTTCTGGCCTCCCTCTCCCCCCGGGATGTTAAGATTGATGTTTTCGAGGTTAAATGAGAATTTTTATTATTCCATTGTATCCCTGTAAATTTTAATCCTATATCTCAAATCATTCAGAAATTATTCAGGTGGCCCCTAAACTTTGACGGGCACTGTATATTTCTGAAAAAGAAAATTGTTATAGGGCGAATGAGAATATATAGGTATATTTCTATTATAGTGTTTATACAGACTGTTAATATCCTGCAACTTTTGCCTGAAACGTTTTTTCATATCATGTATATCTTTCGAGACGTTTGTCTAAGATAGAGGCCTAGATAACAGAGATGCGACATTGAAGGGTATAGTCTGATTGGCTGTCTTAATCACGTGATCAGAGCGCCATTTTAATTCATAACTGATGAACGTATGATTAGAGTCCTAGGACTCTACGTATAGAGTTTAATAATGTATGTACGTATAATGTATATACTATATTAAGTACATACTATAAGTACGTACTATACTTTCTTCTTTTTCAAACAATTTAATAGCGTTTTCGGTCCGGCTAGATTTGCACCAACCTGGGTTGGACTAATGGCGTTTTGTGCTCTTCTATTGGTAGAGCGGGTGACGTCAACCAATAGGAAAGATTAATCCAACCCAGGTTTGTGCAAACCCGATCGGGCCGAAAACGCTATATCTTTCCTCATGTAAGGGTCCGCGCACAAAGATGGTTTCAACTTACAATTAGTCGTAATCGTAAGTCGTTGTCGTAGGTCAACGCACAATGATTTTACGTATGTCGTTTACGTATATCCTATTGCGTCAGTTGATATACGTAAACGACACACGTAAAATCATTGTGCGTTGACCTACGACAATGACTTACGATTACGACTCAGTTGCGACCAACTTTGTGCGCGGACCGTTAAGGCCCATCTATATCTATCGTAATGTTTATAATCGAGCATCGTAAGCATCGACGTATAGTATGGACTGCGCACAGGCTGAAAGAATATGGTCGGCCCGAAAGAAAGAGATAGCGACCGTTGTGGGTCAAGCTCTGTCTCTTACTTAAATTACTGACATCCACTGGGCGGTAACAAAAGCAGCCAATAAGAGTATTAGAAAGAGCGAGTAATTGACCCACACCGCGTTTCCTCTTTGTCTAATTCACCGGACACTTTTCGAGGGGATTTATGAATGGGTCGCGCAGTCCATACTATACGTCGATGATCGTAAGCTTGTTACGATCCTTGCGATAGCCAATCAAAAGCGTTACAATACACATTGACGTTTCTAATTGGCTATTGTAAGAATCATTAGGAGCTTACGATAAACATTACGATAGATGCAGCTGGGGCTTTAAGCGGGGAGCACAGACTCTTGCATAACGCATAACACGTAATGTATAAGAAAATGTGCCAATCGAAGTTCTCCGTTTCCTTCCTTTCCATGAAATAAAGAACTCTAATTGGTTCAATTTCTTATGCCTCATGTGTTATGCGTTATGCAAGAGTCTGTGCTCCCCGTCTTATGCATCAGCTGTCATCAGCTTATAAAGGTGCCTTTTCGTGCCGACGCTCGACGCTTATTTTCGGCGTCAAAATAAGTTACGTAATAGAAATGCCGAATATCAAGCGTCAATTTTAATCTTGTGATTTATTTTGACGTTGAAAACAGCTAAAAACGAGCGTCAGCATGAAAAGGCTTCTTATGATTATAAGTACTTAGGGCTGCCGCACACACCTCCCGTAACAATAACCATAAGACGTACCGTAAGAATCAGCCAATCAGAATTACGAGTTCAAAAGAATTCTCGACTGTGATTGGCTAATTCTTACGGTACGTCTTATGATTATTGTTACGGAAGGTGTGTGCGGCAGCCCTTATACTGAATTGAAATGGCGATGATGACCTAACCCAACCGACGCAATGTCGCATCTTTGGTATCTAGGCCTCCAATCTGATAATTGAAATGGAACATTTTATGTTAATTGATTTTGAATCATGTTTGATTGTCTCTCAGATTTTTTTCGTAAAATACGATTGGATAATTTTCTTTATGCATATGTTTATGGGGCTATGCAAGTTTGTATGGAATGGCCCTAAAGCGGGAAGCACAGACTCTTGCATAATGTATAACACATGAGGCATAAGAAAATAAACCAATCAAAGTGCTTTATTTCCTTCCTTTCCGTAAAATAAAGGACTTTGATTGGTTGATTTCCTTATATCTAATGTTTTATGCGTTTGTATGTAAGAATCTGTGCTCCCCGCTTAAGGGCCATTCCACACAAACTTACAGAGCCGCATAAACATATGCATAAAGAAAATTATCCAATCGTATTTCTGTCATAAAGACAAATAAATGTAAACTGCGATTGGATAGCCGCAAGATTTTCGATTAGTTGATTCCAAAAACATAGAGAATGGACTGCGCGATCCGTATGTCAAAATGGTCAATAGGGATAAGAGAGAGGGACCGTGGCAGACGGCCATTTCTATCTCTTTCCATTCATGGTGTAATGGGAGTGAGAATGAGAGAGGCATTAGCCGTCTCCTACGGACCTCTCTCTCATTATTGTCGACCACATTTGATACACTACTTAGATACGGATTACGCAGTCCATTCTCTATGTCTTTGGTTGATTCCCTTATGGACTATGCATTAGTCCGGATCTACAACAGGTGTTTTAAACCTTAAGCCGTAAGATATTGACGAATTACAGTCGAATCCGAGGAGAATAAGCGACTGTGATTCACCCATTGCTTAAGGCTTAAAATCCTATTGTAGATTCGGATTTATGCGTTATGCATAGTGCATAAGAAAATCAACTAATCGAAATTCTTCTTTTCTATGGAATGGGAGGAAAGGAAAGATTCTAATTAGTTGATTCGCTTATGCACTATGCGCCATGCGTTATGCATAAGTCTATGCTGTGGCCTTTACAGCTTTATGTTCATGTGCCATGTGTTTAAGTATTTTGTCTTCTATGGCTGTGTTCCAAAATTCACTGCCAGCGCTAAAAATCTATATAGTTTATGTTGAGAATACTATACATTTTCAGCACTGGCAGTAAATAATGGAACACAACCTGTGTAACTCAAGATAGTAATCTCATAGAGGTTATCTTTATGAAATTATAAAAAAGGCACCTTTATAAATATCTATTCGTTATTAGTCATGTATTCGTTAGTAAGATTTCATAATGAAGAACATCTCGTAATTCTTTCAAAAAAAGTTAAAATTGTTAAAAGAAATATTTGTTTTGTTAAATTAAAAGGATCATCATATGAAGGCAATTTATTAAGCACCGATGGTAATTTAATTTTAATAATGCCTAAATATAGTCTAGATAAGTTTTAAAAAAAGTACCCAGTAAACACAATGTCACATGTAACAGTACATGTAACATGCAATATCAGCTCAACAAGATAACTGTAATATAACACAATGTGTTTACTGGGTATACTTTGGGGACGACTCTAAATTCTCTACACTCTGAATCAGTAAATAATAATCAGTAATTATGAGTTTCAAGTATGCCACTCCTAATAAGTGAATTTACAATGAAATTCGACTAAAAAAAATGAATAAAACAAATAAAACTTCTTAATCTAACTAATCTGAACTTTGTTTTAGTACAAATTCAACATATATTTATTAGAATTGACAGGTACAGGTATCAGCATTTTAATTATAATATATGTATAATGTTCAAATATCCTTTTTTTTTTGTTGAATTTCGCTGATTACTGATCTAGATTAAAGAACAAAACTTTGATTGAAAATTCATTTATATTTATCATTATTCTTATTATTTTTTCATACATCTTGTTTTATATATGTTTATTCGATACTATATTTAGTTTTTTATTATTATTAGATTCACATGAGGCCTTGCAAAGGAAGCTAGATGATATTAACAATGTAAATAATACAAAAGATGTATCAATATCATCATCGTCATTTGGTCAGACTATTTCCAGCTCGGTAAAAACCGCCAGTTATTCAATGCCCATTTCGAAAGGACAACATATTAAAGAATCAAATTCACACAAGTCTTTATCCATAATTCATCAAAATTTATCGACTGATTCTAATATATCCGTTGAGAGTAGCGCTCCTCCCAGTGGCGCAACAGAAATTGCAAACTTTATCGGAGATGATTGGCTAAAAGATTTAAGTGTAGATTCGAGTAATCCTAAAGAAAATGTTTCTAATATTGAAAAACACGTTATCGAATCTTCTGATGACATAATCGAAAATGAGCAAGAATCTCGAACTCAAATTGCAAATTCATCATTAAAAAAGAACATTGACAATACTAACGAAACTTTCTCGACAGAAATGATTGATTCAATTGATAGTGGACATAAAAATACAAATTCAGATTATATATCAAGCAATAATAGCACTTCAATGAATGAATCAAAAAATTTAAGTTATGATTTGGATCTCCCTATTAAAAATGATACACTTTCGATTGATGTTTGTAATGTTCTTGTACCTAACTCAAAAAATGAGAATAAAAGTTATTCACTTAAACAGTATTTTTGTCCGTATTGCAAAAAACTTCAAAAAAAGTTTGCTCGGCATTTGGAACTAAAACATAAAAATATAACAGATGTTTCTAAATTTATGCATTTTCCAAAAGGCAATTCAGAACGACGCAAAATTATTGAAAAAATTCGAAAATATGGAAATTATCTTCATAACACTGATGCCAATTTAAATACAGGAACTCTCATACTTTGTCGACGTCCTCAAGCAAAATTTAATAATACTGTCGAAGACTATGTGTGTTGCAAATTTTGCAAAGGATATTTTTCTAAAAGAACTTTAAGGATACATTACGCAAAATGTAATTTAAAACACGAGAAAGGTAAAAAAGGTCAATTTATAGAAGGAAAACAGTTAATGGGATATGCACATAGTCGTGCTAATGATATAATGCGTCGAAAAATTATTCCGTCATTTAATGATGACAATATTTCAAAATCGATAAAATATGATGAACTTCTGATTTTATTCGGAAATAAATTATGCGACACATACACACATTCTCATCAGTACGATATGATTAGAAATTATCTACGGCTTCTTGGCCGCTTTAAATTGGCAATTAAAGGAATTAACAACCAAATATCTGATTTTGCGTCCATTTTTCATCCTAAGTACTACGATGACGTTATAAAGGCTGTTAAAATATGTGCAAATTATAATTCAGAGTTACAAATTTTTCAAACACCTTATAACGCAACTACCCTTGGAACATTGTTTAAAAAATGTGCTCGTATACAATCTGCTGAATATATCAAGCATGAGGATTTAGACGGAAAAAAGGCTGTTGATGATTTCATGGTACTGTACGATAATGATTATCCGGTGACAATTAATAAAAAAGTTATAGAGGATTGTGCAAATCGACGTCGGAAAAAGCAAGTCGTCCTTCCATCAAAATCAGATATCAAAAAATTATATAACTATGCACAAAAATTATGTGAAGAAGCCATGGAAATTCTTCAGAAAAAATTTGATCTTAAGGCATGGAAACAATTAACGCAAGGTACTCTGATTCTCGTTCAAATGTTTAATCGACGAAGAGCCGGTGAAATTGAGAGACTCCCCATTGAAAATTATCAAAATCAAGAGACGATTGACAATGTCCTTAACGCTGATATATTTAAAAATATATCAGAAGAATCTCAACAACAAGCCAAGCAATTTGTTCGAATAATTATGCGAGGGAAGTTAGGACGAACCGTCCCTGTATTGTTACATACATTTTTAATTTCATATATCGACACTTTACTCAAATATCGTTCTGATGCTGAAGTAAACAAAAAAAATAAGTATGTTTTTGCTGTACCTCGAGTATGTTCTCCGAAAAAAAGTTATATCAGAGCTTGCTCTGTAATGCGAAAATTTGCTACTGACTGTGGTGCATCGTTTCCTAATACTTTACGAGGTACTATGCTCCGAAAGCATCTTGCTACTTATACTGCTTTGCAGAGAATAGATGAAAATCAAGTTTCTGATTTAGCCAATTTTATGGGGCATCATGAACAAATTCATAAAGATGTATATCGAATTCCTAATGGATTGATTGATATGACTGAAGTATCTCGTTTGCTGCAAGCTGCAATAGACAATAAAGACAATAATAATGACAGCAATGAAGAAAATTCCAACAACGAAAATTCCAACAACGAAAATTCCAACAACAAAAATGCAACAGAGGATACATCGAGCAATGACGATGATAATTATGAGGATAATAATATAAAAATTATTAATGATAAACCTCAAACATCGCGTAAGAAAAGACGTATTCACACATTAAATTATAATGACAGTGACGATGAAATTTTAAATAACAGTACTTATTGCTCGAGATGTAAGTTTATTATTAGCATTTTTTATTTATTTTTTTATAAATGTATATGTGCTTATTTTTAACTAATAATGTATTTACATTTTCACAATTCCTTAAAAAAATTTTTTTTATATATAATATATTATTCTAATTACAGCTGTATTGCAAAAACCAGTAAAGCGTATTAAATGGACTGAAATGGAGAAAGAAATAGTTCAGAAAAAATTTGGTGACATTTATAAGCTGCCAAAATTACCATCACTGAATGAATGTAGAATTTTAATTGGTCAAAATAGATGCTTGAGAAAAAGAACTCCTGAGCAATTAAAATCTTGGATTGATAATCAGCGCAAGGGCAACTTTAGAAAATAGATACATGGGCATAAAAATGCTCAAAATTAGTTTTAAAAAGTAAAATCTATTATATAAAAACGTAAACGTTTATAAGATTATTATAACTGTGAAACAAAATTTCTTAACACTTTCAGTTTTATCTGTTTTTATAATAACAATTATATTTTTATTATCCTCAGTATTTTTGAACTATTTTTCAAGAAAATGTAAAGTTTATTCATGAGAAATTAAGAAGTTCCTTTAGGATACTATCTTTATTTAAAATTTTATGTTAAAAAAATATTGTTTCTTAATTAAACTTATCATTTATAGTTGGTATAATTATTTTTGAAAAATGAATATGGGACGATCAGTTTAGAACGATAATTGTTGCAAAATGTAAAACAAAAAAGATTGGTTACAAAATACACATTATAACTGTTATTGTCAGTATATCTTTAATATTCTATAGTGAATGTTTTAATAAGATTATTTTATATTTTAAGAAGAGAGAAATATTACAATTTCAGTAAAATTTTATTTTTATTATATTATATTACAAGTATAAACAATAACTGTTCTAATTTTTAAAAGATTTTTGTAGAAAGTGTATCAATACTGTACTATTATACAATTGCTTTACTAATAAAAATTAATAAATATTTGAATACCTTCTTTACTTCTAAAAACCTAACTAGTTATAATAAAAACTATTCACCGATTAAATTATGTTAAAGAATTAGTTACAGGCTGCTAAAGAAAGGAAACCTAGTTATTTAGAAGTCCTCTAAAAAACGTTAAAAATATTATATTCTCTTAAAAACTTTGAAAATATTATAACAAGTATGTAAAGAACAGTTAGAAATTAGCCTCTATACACCATATGTGAAAATCGGTATATATATTATTAGTTTTAAAGTATGTGTTTAATATGAGGATGACCTCAATTTCAAACGCATGCTTTGAGGTAAAAATATCCGTCGTAAAGGTAAAAAGCATGGCTTGAAGACTGTTCTTAAAGCATTTGTTTAATATTTTATGTGTGCTCAAATCATGCTTATGTGCAATAATTGTTACAAAGAAATGTTTTCATAAAAAGTAATTCATAAATGCAAAGATTCATTTATAGTTGTTAAAATATTTAGGATTAAAATGTAATTTGTGTAGAAAATTATATCCTTGAAGGACAAACTTCGACGATCTCGACCTTGACATACGTTAAGATCATGATTATGAGTAATATTCAGAAGATTTCAATCGTCACTCGTTATTTATTAAAAAGTAATTAACAATTAAAGTTGATAGTACAAGTTAATGAAATTTAAATTAGCTACTCCCTCTTCGGCCTCTTTGAGGCTCGTTTTTTTCGATATATTTTTTGTCACTGAATACAGATCTGTCCCTTCTTCTACTTTTTCCTACTCCTTCCACCTGTTTAAGCATTAAAGTGCAATGTAATTAAAAGATATATATGAACAAATATTATGATTTCTTTTTCTTATTAATCCAGTTGATGAAGACTAAGTATAGTCGAAATGTTCCTATGATTTTATTAATAATCCTTGCACCTGTTCGAGCGTTATAGTGCAATGTAATTAAAAAATATATAGGAACAAATATTATGATTCCTTTTCTTATTAATCGGGTTGATGAAGACTAATTGTAAGTATAGTTGAAATGTTCCTATGATTTTATTGATGAAAAAACTAGTTCAATTTTTAATGTATGATTTAATAAACTAGTTCAAATTTCAAGATTCAATAAATGTGCTCGTGTTTTTTGACCTTTCTATTCACATTTATTTGCTTAGCAATCTTGAGCTTAGAAAATTTATGTATTTAATTTAATTTTTATAAAATAAAATCTAAAAGGCTTAAAAATCATAACATACCCTGATAGCACTGCCTACAGAGACAAATTTTGAATAGAATCTGCTACCAATTTTTGATTGTAGAAAGACAACAAATTGTACACTTTGTATTATCTGACATTGTCAGCAAATTGCTGTCGGAAATATGATAAAATCTCCTAAACATGGTATGCCAGTAGATTGGTGGTAGAAATCTAATTAAGTCCTACATAACCTGACAGTAGAATGATAGCAGATTGAGAGCAGAATCTGATTCGAGCAGACTGTGTTTGGTTTCTGTCACCAACCTTGTGGCATAGTCCATCAGTAGGCTTTATCGACAAATAGTTAAGTGCGGACACAGATGGTTATAGTTTTGTAGTGAAAATTTGATCGAGTTTAATAATTTGATGTTAATTTGGCGCAATTAATTCTTATGCTATGGACGTAATTATCACCAAAAACATAATACTTTTTACATATATATTTCACTTTTGGTTTTTTTAAAGATATTTCGGACATGTAAGAAAGAACGGAAAAAAAATAAGACGAACAAAACGTTAACTGTTGCAATCAAACGTCTGTATTATGTATATTTAAGAGATACGTTCAGCAAAAATTATTACATATTTGCGATCATATATTGTATTAATTGTACAAAATGAACCTTAAAGTCACCAAACTTATTTTGCCGACTTATAAAATATATCAGTGTTGCAGTATAATGTTTAATTTGAGGACATTTCCTTTTGGCACACTCATTGTATAATTTGGAGACATTCATACAGGTATTGTATAATTTGAGGACATTCATACAGATATTGTATAATTTGGAGACATTAATACAGGTATTATATAATTTGGGGACATTCATACAGGTATTGTATAATTTTGGGACATTCATACACGTATTGTATAATTTGAAGACATTCATACAGGTATTGTATAATTTGGGGACATTCATACACGTACTGTATAATTTGAGGACATTCATACAGGTATTGTATAATTTGGGGACATTCATACACGTAGTGTATAATTTGAGGACATTCCTATAGGTATTGTATAATTTGAGGAAATTCATACAGGTATTGTATAATTTGGAGACATTTCCTTCAGTTATGTCTATTGCATAATTTAGAGACATTTCCTATAGGTATTGTATACTTTGAGGACATGTCTCTAATCTATGCTTTGTATCAAAGAAGTCTCAAAGTATGCAATGACTGTAAGATTGCCTGAATTTCCTTGTTTATTGGTTTATAAACGAGATTTTCGATTGATCTCGGTATATTAGGTGTTACAACACCAATTAGACGAATAAAAAATGGGTGTCCCAAAGTATGCGTTGGACATATATATATACTTATATTTGTTATATATATATATATATATATAGAAGTATATACATACGTACATGTAAATACACATTATAATACATTATAATATTCATAAAATTCTAACATTTTATGGAAATATATCTGCGTGAATATCTAAGCATGAGAAATTTGTATCTCTATTTGTTACGTGTAACAAAAAGAGATGGAGTAGCTGCCACGTAACTAGACGTATGTGCAATATCCATGTATTGACAATACATGTTACGTTCTGATCGAAAATGACATTGAACATAGGAAAGACACTACTACGGCCATGTATCGATGTACATACATTGTCAGTACTAAAAATTCATATATGGCTTATGTTACGACTATTACAGATTCCGACAATATATATCAGTAGACTTACTCTTTAGCAAAAAAAGGTGAAGTAGTTACACATATATGTGCAATATATGTATTTATATGACACATTTTGACATATTATGTAACCTAAAATGGCATTGGACCATAACGAAAGTGCTATGACCGTGTATACTGTTAGTAAAATCTGTATTTTCCGTCACATACATTACATATCTTTAGTACTGACAGTCTATGTGACTTAGAACGCAATCATATTTCAGACTGCATTCTGTCTAAATGCTCACACATGTGAGCAAACCGAGCGACTGAAAACGGCGCATGGCTGGAAACAGCTGGAAACGTGAGTGCTCACAGCACTCACAGTGCATGAAAGTAATGAAAGTCTGAGCCTCCAGAGCAGGGATCAGTGTTAGCAACCTAGAAGCAGCGGCCGATCGTACCAGGGCCGTAAAATTATCGTACCTAACCCAAAATTATCGTACATACATACATCGCGCGCGCGTGCGAACAAAATTTAAATACGAAATATAAAAAATTTTAATCCGTAATTAAGACAGTCAGAAATAACAATTTTATTTATTACTTAACGTGACAATTTTATTTATTACTTAAAGTGACTTATGCTAGATTCACCACAGTATAACCAGTAGGGGCACTCCGATTGAAATAATAACCGATATTTTTTGTTGATTCCAAGAGCTTAAACATTCTATAGAATAAGTTGTATTTCTATAATATCCAGGTTAAAAATACAAATTGGAAAGTAATTATTTCAGTATATTTAAAACAAAGAAACGGTACAAATATTTTTACATATGTTGACAGTAGACAGTTCACAAGTTCACTTGTATCAATATCATAATTTTTTATGTATGTAGTAGTACATATGTATATGTCTCGTATTTACCGTAGTAGCAATTATAGTCATTTCACTTCACAGATTAAGGGCCATTGTCACCATCGTCGGTTTAGTTAGTCAGCCTAATAACTGTAATGAAATAGAAAGAGATAGAAATAGTTCTATTTCTTTCTATTTCATTACAGTTAGGGCCTTTGCACGTAAAAAAGCGTTAAGCGTTAAACCGTAATCGTAAGCTTTTTGACCAAATTGTTCGGTCCGTAATCGTAACCGTAACAATCGGACAACGCGATTGGTTGAAGAGCTTACGGTTAAGGCCGGAACACACACTCTTGCATAACGCATAACGCATAGTACATAAGCGAATCGACTAATCAGAATCTTTCCTTTCCTCCCATCCCATGGAAAAGAAGAATTTCGATCGGTCGATTTGCTTATTGTTTAAACGTTTCGACTATCCTTTTTTAGTCCTCTTCAGTATAAAATTCAGTATGAATTTGTATTCAATTTATGGAATTTTATACTGAAGAGGACTAAAAAAGGATAGTCGAAACGTTTATATTATGTAATTGTGACATTTTATATGTTAGAATAATAAAGTTTGTACATAGTAAACCCAGTGCTG